CCCCAAAACCCCAAAACCCCATAGCAATTAAGTTTAACAAATTTATTGCAAAATTATTAATAAATCGAGTATAATAACAAAAAATAAGTTAATCTAGCAGATGAAACTAATACTGCCAAATCAAAACTATATCAATTTTATACCAGCAACTAGTCCTATGAGCTATCAGTAAATAATTATTTAACTGGGAGAGCTAATCCTACAGAATTTACTGGATCAATCATAATAAGATCTTACAGAGTACCTACTCTTTGATTAGTAATGTAACTTGTTTAATGAAATTGTAAGCGAGTACTCCAATGATTTGTTCATTCAGCATAAGTGTATTTACGTTTTCTTGGTGAATCATAAACTAGCCTCAAATAGTCCAAATTTTGATTTATGGTGCGTGATGCCTAGAAATCCATTTCCATAGGAGATTGAGTACATACTCACATTTAATGAACAAACAAATGATAATGATATTTAAAGTAACAGAGTTTCGAGTCACATCTAAGTCACTGAAACTTAAGCCAACCTTATGAGAATATAGCAAAATATACCACTTCAAAATTAAGTTACTTAATAGCCAAGTACTACTAACTAATAGTAAAACAATATACTATTATAATAATAAATGCAAAAACCTAATTAATTTGAACAACCTTAAAATAGCCCAGAGAATTGCAGCAATGCTGTCAATAATTAAATATAGCTCCAAGAAAATTATAATAGCGTGCATAAAGAAAATACCATCAGTGCTTAACAGTCAACTTCAAATGTACCAACTATAAGTGATACACTAATTTAGCAAGCACTAGAAAAAATATAAGCTTAAAAGTAATAGAACCTAGGAACCAATAATGTACCTATAATTGCTAAAAACACCTAAATTGTTAATGACATCTCACCTATACTCCAATAATTACCTTAGTAGTAACTTGAATCAATTAATATTGCGAAAAGAAGAATTAAGATTAAAAGAAATGGCTAAACTATCGAGAACTCTAGTGAAATATAGCAAAAGAATTTGGCTTAAACTGATGATACTATGATTTCCAAATTGAAATCGGCTGTAATGTCTTATGATATTCCACCTCACCTCATAGCAGTGTCATTAGGTCTTAATGTTCAGCTTGTAAGATTTATCTAACATGAAGGACTCCTTAATCAGCCAAAATATGAGAGAAGTTTGTGGCCATATAGCTTTATCAATCATAAATTTAATAAGATAACAAATTAGTGCTTTAAAAGAATGCCAACTGCAGTGGTGAACTATTACACTCAAAATGTGCTTAAGCATAAGCATCTTACCTATGAAGAGAGAGCCTTGGAGTAATCAAATATCTACAGATTGACCTATGTAAATCTGAGAGCTATTTACAAGCATCACAACATTCCAAAGTAGACTTATAAAGAGAAGATTAAACAAGATGTTCCTAAGAAAATTTCTACTGCAAAACAAATAGTTTAGTTACTTGCTCTAGAGTTAGCTGAAATAAAAATGAACAATAGATACCTTTACTACATTGATACAGTTTGTATAAGTTAAAGTGAGTTTCAGATGATAATTTCAAGTGAAGATGAGACTAAGAGCTCAATGAGAAATGAAAAAGTAGAATCTAATTTGAGTAATGTTTGGATGACTCTAGTAATAGACAGTCAAGTAGGATTGATAGGATATTAGATTTACAAAGATAAACCTGATTAGTAGTAATATATTGAGTTTATAAATAAAATGACTGCTAAGTTAAACCAATACGAGTAGGATTATATAAACTTACTAATGTAAGATGCCAGCAAAGATTTAGCGAGCGATTAAAATACTAATGCATAAGTTCCCATATAACAATCAGTTATTATTCAATAAATGAAAGTTACAAAAAATATGAATAAAGAGTAAGAGAGATCAATCGATAAAATAGCTAAAAAGCAAAGAAGATGGGTGGTGATTAAAAATTCTTTGCTAAAAGACCCAAAGAAACTCAATGAATGTCTAATTCGAGGCAGATATAGAATACTTCCTATTATTGATGAGGAAATGAACAAAAGACTCAATAATGTCACTGGAGTCTGGTAGTATCTGGCTAATATTTGGGAATTGAAACAAGCTAAGAAGAATGAAGGATTCAGGTTGATGCAATTGCAGGAGAAAATAGTTGACTGTCTAGGAGATATGAGCAATAAAGTGGTCAAAGCTATTGCAAGCACTTTCAACAATGAGGAAATCATAAGTTACATTGATGGAGAAAAGAAAAATAAGAAAAGCATTGAGTCTAAAGTTTTAATTGAATAATGGTGATTTTTATTTGATAATTTTTCAGAGCAAAATTTAGGAATA